GTCTCTTACTATGCAGCCATCTGGTTTCTCCAGGGAATGGAAGACTAGCTCGGAGACATAAATCTCTGTTAATGATTTTAAATAGCTATCTATCTGTATATAATATGAACCCTGGTTTGCCCCAGGCATTCAATCATGGGATTAGGAGAGGATGATCAATAATGCGAAGCGCAGAGGAGCTCTTGGTGGTTAAGTCAGGGCCGTTATGAAGCCCCCTTGCCTTCGTTCGCTTCGTTCCAGCCCATCTGTGTGAGCAGTCCTGTTCCCTCTCCTGCATTTTCCATGTTGGAAGGAGAAATCCAGGCCCAGCTATGCAGTAGCTGGTCGGGAGCAGCACCCCATTCTGCCAGATTTGTTTGTCCTTTGCAAACATTCATTGTACAAGGTTTGTACAGATAGGAGGACCTGTTGTGAAATAAGAGATACTGCAAGGAAATGTACTAGGGAGCATCCAAGGAATGTGGATAGATTCAAGGAATGTGGGCAAGACCTGGGATGTTCCTCACCTCATGTAGCTGCTGTCTGAACAAGCTGCAGAGAGACCCTTTTCATCATGGAAAAAGTGTGTAGACATCAGAACTATCATTTCCATCTAGTTTCTCCCTAATGATCCCAGATAAGTTTTCACAACTGGGATACAAGATCAGCAAATAAAAGCTGTATTTGGAAGGGAAGGGCAATTACAATGTTTGCTTAAGGTTTAGTTTGGCTTTGGTATCCTTCCTTTTGCTTTTCACCCACTAAAACCTACTATTCTGTCCAGAATTTATTAGGAAAGAGGTGATTTAGGGAGATGAAATGTGGCCTGCGTATTTTCACGTGTACCTTGGTTGTGGTTTAACTAGGAGCAAACAGACAGTGACTGAATATTGCTCCACTTGTGGCTGCTCAAAGACGTGAATCCAGGGTGCAAATTGATTCCATGGTTGGCTGCCATCCTATTCCTACTCGAGATGTTCCCCGCCCTGGAAAGCCCTCACCACACTTGGCATTAAAGGAGGTACCTGCTTGTGAACCAAAGCTGCGGATGTACCTTTGGATTGACCCATACGGCCTTGGCACTTCCAACAGGGGCGTGACCGAGTCTTCGAGGGCAGTGACCAAGGCTGTGCTGCTGCTGTGTGTTTAGCCCCAAAGCCGGGTTGCACAAAGGGCTGCAGGGCAGCGATGTGGCGCTTCGGGGAAAGGTTGTGATCATCAGTACTGTTTCGAAAGGCCGACCTCTGAACGTGGCCAGCTACAGAGAGCTTGTACAGAGCGAGGTATGAAAAGCTCTGCAAAGCCTTTTACAGCCTAAAGGAGAGGCAGCAAGCCTGGCACGTAGGAGAGTCCCTCAGAGCTTCCCTTGGTTACCCTGCAAGCGGCCACCCCAGGACCCTTCCTTGTCCAGCGGGCCGGCCCGCAGCTCTCAGCGACACCAGCACCCATTCCTGCAGTGCCTGCCTCCATTCCGAGCATTCAGAGCCCAAACTCCAGGGAAAAAGGAGCTCTTGGAGATAAGGCTACCTGCTCTTATCACTCGTGTAATCACCGCCTACTGCTGTGTCCAATGCGTGTCCTGGGCTCTGACACTGCAGGGTAGTTCAGCTGGGCACGTTGCTTGTTGAGCCCTTGATTGGGGGCACTGAGGGACTTCTCCCTGTTCTCCTACCAACTTAGCCTGTTTTCAGGTGAAAGAAGCTCAGTGAGGAAGGACTAAACGTGGTTTTTGCTGGTGACCTCCTGAACGCTCTGTTCAGCCCCAAGCCAACTCACCCCAACTTACGAGTTTATCTGTGTAGAAAATAGGGCACCGTTGTGTTTCCCGGCACTGCTGCAGCGTGAGACCTAATAAATCTTCTTACGTGTGCCTCGTGTTGAGTTCATGGGTTTCTTCTGGTCACCTGGATTTATTTTTAGCTCTGGTTCTTTCACAAATTGCCGGGCCTCCCTTAAACGTGAGCTGAACCAGATTTGTCGCCTCTTGTCTATACCAGGCGCTGATCTGAGTGGAAAATACCTTGGAAAACGGGCACTGCGGGAGCCAAGCAAATTCCTTCTCTCCTGGGCCGGGTCGCCCATGTTACTTTGCCTGTTCCCTTGCCGGGGGCAGCTCCTTTGAACCGCTGGTTGCATTTCGAGTTCGTGCACGTGGGCAGTTTTCAGGAAGACCATGAGTGGCCATGAAGTAGCCAGAAGGCCTGTGCGCCCCTTGCTAGTGTGTCCCTAGCGCTGAGTTTAGCCCTTCCTGAGGACCTGCCTGTGTTTTGTTCTGTACTGTAGGGTCTGAGGAAGAAAAATCCTTGAACAGCTTGGTCGTATTAGGTAAATGAATCTGTTGGCAAGTTTTTATAGTCTTGATCGTGCAGCTTGTGCTTGTACTCTGGGATTTATGATGGGAACTGACCTCCTGGAGCAGTAATGTATTAGAGGTGATTTGAGGGGAGGTTGTTGGTACTGCTCTGTGTCCGCGGCTGGAAAGCCGGTAAGAAGTTCAGAGTGGTTTGGAAAAGAAGCTGCTTAGTTTGAGGCTTGGAGAGGGGCACGAAGAAACCACCCCTGAAAAGGCTTGTTTGATAAAATCTCTATAACCTTTCTGGTCATTCGTAAGAGAATATCCTTGTTTTTGTGCTGTGGACACGTTGTCCGAGCACGGATACGCGGCCTTGGCAGCAGAAGGGCCATATTGGGAAAAACGCTGCCTGCCGAAGGCTCCCGTAGGGCTGTGATACCTGAGGCAACATGGCAGGAGGGCCCTGTCTCTTTTAGGAACAAAAGTCCTGAAATAGGAAGGGAAAAGGGTGGCAAAGGGGATGAAAGTGCTCAAGGCTGTCCATGGGAGCACAGCGGTTTTGGGATGCAGGTGCCCTCCTTTTCCAGCCTTTCTGGACCCCTCAGATCTCAACCTTACCCACTGCTCATCTGTCATCTCCTATCCTAATCCTTGCTGTAACATATCACCTCTCTGGCCCTATTTCTGAGCACATCCCGGGGGATCAGTGGCGCACAGGGCTGACCTGAGTGTTCTCGGGAGAACTAGCTTGTGCCAGGCACCTGGTTTCATCGCTCTGTTTTGGGGATGAAAACATGTCTTGATGGCTTTTCTATTCAATGAAGAAGGGGAGGGAAAGCAGAAGTTGTTGTTACGGGTCCCTGGGCGCACGTTCAGCCGTCCCGTTTTGAGACCCGCGGTCTCCGAGCACTCGGGCCTTCAGGCTGCTCGCTGTGGCCCGCTGCGTTTTTCTCCTCAGAATACTGAGGAGTTTGAAAATCAGAAGTGATTTTGCAAGTGAAAACTGAAAAAGCTCCGTTTGCAGCTGGGCTTTTGTGGCTGCTGCAAGTGCCAAAGGACAAGTAGCTCAGGGTAGATAAGGGGCTGTGCTGAAGGCCCTTTCACAAAAGAAATAGGAGATTTTGGACTTCAGAAGCCAAATAGATGGTATATCTTTTTTTTTCTTTCTAGTTGCAAAACAGATGCATGACTTTACCTGCCTTTTTTTTTTTCCCAACTTCTTGCTATGTAAGATGATTTGTCTTGTTTTACTTTCCTTTGGAGGCCAAAATGACCAAGTGTTTCTGCTCTTTAACCCTGTAATACTAAAAATTTCCTGTTTGTAGACCTAGAGATGCCTTTGTCTTTCTGCTGGTGCTCTTTTGCAAAGCAGTGTTGCAGAGCTCTAATTGGGGCTCCTTATGTCGCAGTATTTTTGCACACATTAAATAGGAACCCTATTCCAGCACCTGTGTGAATAGTGATGCAGCAGCTAATGCACATGCAGTTTTACTGGGTTGAATGTGCTTATGCTAATGCAGCTATTCCTAAAGGAGAAGAATACACCATCATAAGTCACGCGTTGTGAAGTGCATGCATGCTGGAGCTTGTGATATAAATATTTTCCTTGAAACTCCTTGCTCTGTTAATAAAATTCTAATTCTGGATTAAAAAAAATACTGTACTGAATGTGGCCTTAAAATTACATCCAGAGTCGTTATAACTATATATTTAATAAGTTCTTTCGAAATGGAGTCATGTGCTTCAGGAAAGGGAAGGCTATTTAAATATGGTTTTGATAGAGGTAGAGGCTGTAAAATAAAACTTCCTTCCTGCTCTCTGTGGAAATCTTGCTGTTTGGCAGCAGTGGAGTTTGAACCCGAGATCTTTGGATCTAAAGCAATGAGTGGATGTTGCCTGAGCTTAAAGCTTGCAGCCAGCAGGAGATTGGCAAGCTGTGTGAAACAGGACATAGATGGTGACCAAAGGGTTTTTCCCCCTCGTGCCTCTGCCGTGAACATCAGCCCCGTCTCTTGGCAGCATCTGGGGTTTGGGACGAGACTCCCTCGCAGCCGCTGCTGCCCTGACGTGACCCCAGGCAAAGCAGAACTGCAGCTTGGGGAGCACGGTCCTGGTAAACAGATCCCGCACAAAATTGAAGGCTGTTAAAGTGTCTAATTGAATTATTGCACTACAGGGGCACAGCGACTCGCAGCAAAGCTAATCACCTGCTGCTTTATCTTGACTGCGAAGAATAGATTGCTGGTTAAACATTTAAAGGTCATAGGCACAGTAATTGTAATAGCACAGCTGCCCTCCCCTGTGTTATGTTTGAAGGTGTTAAGGGAATGGGAAAGATGCTCTTTGGAGGTGCACGTGCCACAGAGGAGGCTCCACAGCTCGTGCCTGCTCCTGTGGAGCAGGTAGCTGCTGGTGAGCGTCACCTGGGTTTTGGTCAAATTTTTCCAGACCTGCAGCGTGGAATTGGGCTGCTAAGGAGAATAAAACCTCCTCAGATTCGAAGCACAGATATTTAGGGGCTTCATTCTTGTTTATCAGGGAATTCCAAGTGTAAATTCCAAGTGTAAAAGAAGTGGAGCTGAAACAACTGCTGGGTAGAGTTTTGGGGTTTAACAGTCCTTCGTTGCTCACTGGGCTAAGAAGCATCATTTAGGAAAGGGAGTTTTCCTTGATTGTGCCTGAAGACACCAAAACCCTAGTTCTACTGTTGGGTCCGGTTTTCGAATCGATGGAGAATACTGTGTTGATCCAGAAAGTAATAGATATTGTTTCTTTGGAGTTAGCCGGTTGGGAAGGTGAATGGGGGACTGATCCTGGACCCCAGACTGTCATTCCCCTTGCTCTGGTCCCAACACAGTTGTCAGCAAGTCCAGGTAGGGAAGAGCTCGGCTGGAGAATCCTGTGCTGTAAAAGAGCTGTAAAGATTAAAAAGGATACACTTTTCTTATGAAAATGCTGGGCTCCTTTTAAGAAGCTCTTCTTTGTGATTCCTACCGCTTATATCGCATCAGATCCACTCTGTTGAGTCACTGGGATGGGAGGTATCTTCCTTGGCAGCCCTCCTGGAGGAAATTTCTGTCAGTAGAGGAAAACTTGGAGGTAAAATATCAGCAAACAGTTTTAGAGGATATAAATCTTCAGCATAGAAAATCAGTGACCAGGTTACTAGACATCAGCAAGGAATTGTCATCCCAATAACCCAATTTAAATATAGACTTTGAAGGAAGTTTCCTGTAATATCTTCTGCATATGGGTGTTTTATGGCAGGAAGCATATCCTGCTATAAAGTTTTAAAAAATAGCCTATTTTAGAGACTGGGTTAAAGACTATTCATGACTTCAGTCTGGAAGGTTTTTTTTCCGTTTGGAAATGTTGGCTGTACTAAATTGATAGCTCACTGGCATGTTTTGAGCTTGCCCAAATACTTGAATTTGGAAAGGTTTGGAAATCATGGCTGGAGAGAGAACAATGTATTTCCTAATTGCCGCTGAAATCTCCTGCTTTACTTCATCCAAAGGAGCGACCTTGCAAACGGCTGCTTTAGCTGCCTTCCAGCAAGGGGGGCATATTGAAAGAGTAGTTGCTGCTGCTCTATCATGCTTATTTTGTGGATTTAATCACCTTCTTGCATGCTTCAAAACAGTACTAGGTTTTATTTTCTTTTTACAGCAAATAACACAATATTTCTCTTTGGAACTCAGTGCGCCTCATCGTTATTTCATCTCCGAATCTGCCTGTAGCTTGCTTGCATTTTGGCACATTGCTGTAAAACGTTATTTGTAGATAAATCGGAGCTGCTTGAGTGTGATTTGTTTTTTATTAACCTTTAAACTTCATCAGTCTCAAAAGGGTTTTTAGTGCTTCCTGTCGCCGCCGTGGTAGGATTTTGACCCCTCTCCTGATTGTAAAGTGACTATTGCGTAGAGTATCTCCCACGTGCAGTGCTGCTTTATCCTGCGTTGCCAACTGAGGTACCTCATTCTTGTTTTACTCTAATCTTCCCTGCGAGTAACGCCTTTCACAGCCCTTTGATCCTTTTGGAAATGGCAGATTAACAAGACAAAATACTTTCCTCAAAGAGCTTTTTCTTAACCATAGAAGAGCTGCTAATATCACGGCCTGATTATACCCTCCTCCAAAGGGAAAAAAAAATTTCAGGCGCCTTTTAACAGAATCGTTTATTCTTACTATTCGTTAGGAATGGAAGAGCGCCTTCCTGAGGCGCCTGCCGCACGGGTGCTCCCCGTCCGCTCCTCCCGCCTCGCCCCACGCTGTGGAAAACACTGAAAAGCGATAAAACCCACCCGGACACGACTCGGGGCTCTAGGTGACCCTGCCTGAGCAGGGCGGGTTGGACTAGGCGATCTCTGGAGGTCCCTTCCAACCTCAACCATTCTTTGACTCTGTGAAAAAGCTTATTCTCATACAGTTTTTTGTTTGAGTTTCCCTTTTTCTTTACATTTAGAGCTTTAACATGCTACGCTAGTGCTCCTACACCACTTGAACCTGTCTGCTTTAATTAGCAGCTGAAATTGCTTTATTTATAGATACATAGAAAAAGCATGACTAGCTGTAGTTCACACATCTCTTTTTTTAATGTTAGGGAATAACTCATATCCATTTTTCCATAGATAAGCTGGCTTGGCAACCTGCAGATGTTGAAAACACTGGGTACTGATGCTTGAAATAGAAATGGGCTCCAAAAATGATGTGGGATGGGAGGAAATAAATCAGAAGCTGCTGTTGCACTGGAAGTCTATTAAGACTGATGACGCATCATGCTTACCAGAGCATAACTTTAAAGCTGACCATGTTAAAAGAAAGACCTTTTAAATTCTTGTTTTCAGTATACATTATTAAGGTTCATTTTAGCTTTTGACCTGCTGTGGTAAGAAAACAGGTTACCAGTATGCATGTTTCATTATTTAGTGTGGTTTAGTTGGCTGGGAGGCGTTTGTCCAAGCAGGAGAAAGGTTAAATCTTAGTAGGAGTTATGCTTACAGATGATGTGAAAAGCATGATGTGCTTTACCTGTAGCTTTGAATTTGTGAAAGTTTTAGCCTGCGTTGACACTGTAGTGCCTAGAAAATGATGGGCATGCAAGGACCAAGAATGTTATCTTGTTGAGCTCCTGTGGGTTGACAGTTCCTCAAAATCTGTCGGCCTGCACCTTACTGTGGGGAAATAATATGAGGAAATTTGAGTCCCTTTCAAGAAGCTTCCCTTAAATAAATTAATTCTCGCTGCAGGCTTTGAGTGTGAGTACGTGGGATATTGTTTAGCGGCCAGTGAGCAGTAACAAAGCTGGACTTCTTGGTCTGCATAGCTTGAATTTTGCCCAAGGTCTGTATGTTACCAGCTCTGCTGGAGAGCACATGGCAGGATGACTTTGAGTGATGCAGGGCTCTTCTTCCCCAGCGTATCCAGCTCCGTGTTACACGCGTGGGATTTTTCTGATCCCTCCGGTTGCACACAGATGTTCTCAGAGCATCTTGTTTCTCACGTTGACCGTGTTTAGGAGGAAGCTGGATCATAGATCATTACTGCTTTCCATGGCAGAGCAGGATGCAGGGAAGCCTCTTATGCGACATCGCTGTGAAATGTGGGAATGTAGGTTATGTGGTACTAAATCAAGGCAATCTCCGGGGAAATAGTTAATAAATCCTGAGTAGGAGGTGACCCTTTCTGAGCACTTTCCTTTCAACTCGTAATTTATGTGCTGTTCCTGTGGGTTACAGCGCTTAAACCATAGGTCAGAAACCCCCCAGCCTGCTTCGACACTTCCTCCCGTCTTTAACAGACAGTTGAACGGCAGTAAGTCATGGCCAGCTGCGTGGGCAGGTGGCGGCTGATGAGGCCTCTCCCGTAGATCGAGGGAGCAGCAGAGCGTGTGTGGAGCTGCGAGATTTAGATGGATTCAGCGCATTGCCAGAAACGTCCAGTGACCGGCTGCCGCCTACAAACAGCTGAAGCTTTTAGTAGTATGAGCTTATTCTTTGAGAGACTCTGAGAAATGCAAGGAAAGGAAAAATACACGGATGTGTTTGAACAAGCTTCATCGGCTGCACTTCCTGCATGAATTTGTTGTGTTACGTATTCATGTATGTTGATGAAGAGGGGTCAGAGATGTGCAGCCTCCCAAAAACGCATTTGGAAAACATCAGTGAATCCTGGATATTTAGATAAAGAAAAAAATATACAGCAATGGCAATAATCAACAATTGGAAGAGGAGCCCAGGAGTCTCCACCTCTGGAGACCTTCAGAACAACCCTGGACAAGGACATCAAGCACCTGGTCTAAGGTGACCCTGCTTTTAATGGGGGAGCAAAGCGATGGCCTCCAGAGATTCCCTCCAGCTGGAGATATTCTACGATTACAGGGGTTTTTGTAAGAACTGTTGAGAGGAAGGACCTCTGACCAAACCAGTTGCACAAATATTTGGAGGGGAGTAAGGGAGGCAGCAAGGGGTTTCCCCCTGTAGGAGGCCCATCCCTTAAGGAAGGGCATTCCGTAGTTTGCAAGCTGTAACTAAGAAACTTCAGCAGCCCTCTGTGCCTTACTTAAAACTACCCGACGCAGTTGATTTGAAGTTATTAAAGACTACAAATTAAGCAGGACTCAGTGGGAAAAGCAACAGTACTTTGAGATCTGCTGAGTAGGGCAGGCACAAAAGGGTTTTGTGCTCCAGTGAGGCAAAGGCTAAAAAGGTTGAAAAGCAGAGCTGTAAAGCAACTTCTGTGGAAGTAAGATAGCTTCTGCTTCCCTTTCAGACTTAAATTTCAGGATTTGCAAAGTGCGTACTTTGACTTTTTTTCTTCTTTCTCTGGCTTTTCAGCCTCTTTTGTTGAGTCGAACCCTGATTTCCTGAAGCCTTTTTTGCAGTTGGTTTTACTGAGGAGGAGGGTTACACAGTCCTCTAGCACCCTCCACACATCGAGCAGACGAGCTTGGTGCACAGGTGTGCAGCAGAGCTAGGTGCAGTCGGGATTGTGTCACAGTCCAGCCGATTCCCTTTGGAAGACAAATCCAGCCGGGAAGAGGGAAGCACATGCGTGGGCTCTGCATGCCACTGAGCACAGCCGCGTGCCTTGATCTGTGCTAAAGTGCCGTGCTCGCAACACTGTGCAATTGTGCCTCTCGCTTCATGTTTTCTGCAAGACATACTCTTCTTTTTGGTGAATCAAAGAACTCTTGAAGCTTTTTTTCCCGCCCTGCTCTTCGTGGTTTAAGCAGGCACGCTTTGAATTCAGTGTGACAGTTTAGGCTGTCGGAAGGATTTGTAGCATAACCAGCAGTTTGCCTGCAGAGCACACGAATCTGTGTGGGTGAAACAGCCAAGGACTGGGGGAGAGTAAAGCAGAAAACGCTGGGTCCTTTTCCAGATTCCATAATTTGGATTCAGACTTTGGTGTTAAGCTCTATCTTCCTCAGCATATACCTTATTGAGCTTATGGACAGGAATGTAAAGCCTCTAGTGTCTCTGTTTGGAGATGACTGTCCCCATTTTGCTTTTTTATATAACAGGTGTTTTTTTATTATTTATTTTTAACTGAGGTCAGTGTTGTGCGCTGAATTCCTTTGCACTGCAGGCTTGCATGGCCAGCTGGTGTTAAACCCATGTGCCAGTATTCTCCCTTGAAATGTGAAAAGGCAGAATTCTGTAGTACAGTGGAGAAAGTTGAAAATAAGTGGGATGCTGCCAAAAAAAAAAATGAAAAAAAGACCTTGCAGTGAGGGCAAAGCTGGTCAGCTGTCTGAGAGCTGGTATGCTGAGCAGCCCAGCAGCTGCCTTTAAATATAGCACGGGGTGAAGCTTCAAGAGGTTCAGGGCAATCCAGATAATTACAAAATTAGTGCCCTGGATTCTTGCAAAGGCTTTGTGTTATCTGCCCTGCGATTAAAGAGGCAGCGAGTGCTCCGTGTTCTGCGGCAGCAGCTTCGGAGCTGCCGGGGAGGTGTCCGAAGAGGGGGATCCCTCCCGGGGCTCCTCAGGAGGCAGCGAGGCCCCGTGCTGGCTTACGCAGGCCCTGGTCTGCTTTATTTCTTGGTGTCGCTGGATCTCTTCGTAGCAAACTGAGGCATAACCGATTTTATATAAAATGTCCCAAGCTGCTGATTTCCTAAGGCAGGTTTACATGGTCCTGCTTCCCCCTGTGCCTTCGCCGTCCTCCCTTCCATGCGCCAAGGAGGAGAGCAAGGAGCAAAAACAGGCCTGCCTCCTCCACAGCGCTGCTTGCTCTGGGGTTTCAGTTAGATGTGCTGACCTTAATTAAAAACAGAAAAAAAATGTTGCTGTTCTGCTTTTTGCACCTGTTTGCTTCAGCTGTGCCTGATTCTGCATTTCAGCAGCCGCCACCGTTGGGTCGCGGTTGAGATAAGTCTGCTCAGCCAGACCCTCATCTTTGGGCTGTGTGGGGAGTATCCCCGTCAGGTAGAGCCTTTCTTTAGGTGTCACCGATGTCACGGCTCAGGGCTGGGTGCTGCATGGTGAGAAATGGCCCCACAACCCGGGGCTCTGGGACTGCCTGGTCCCTCTGGGCTGTCCTCGTCCTCGCATGGCTTCGGGAGGCACTTCGGAGTGTGGGGCCTGGCGTTGCCCCTGAGCCATTGGCGGCACTGGCAGCACAGCAGCGGGATGTGCTCGGATTAGGCCCGTGGGGTTTCCATAGCTGTTCACAGAGCGGTCTCGGAGAGGCAAAGAGGAATGGGGAGAGGTAGGGGCAGCGCAGATGTTCGTCAGACCTTGTGGCATTTGGTAATTGGAGCAAAGAGTGGAAACAGCCTCGGGAAATGCAAGTTCAGTGTCTGCTCTTCTGAGCAACTCTACTCCTCGTGATGCTTTATTTTTGTGGCATTAAACCCTTGATGAGGAACTTGCTATTAATAAAAAGTAGCAACAAGCACCTGCAAAGAGAAACCTCCCGAAGGGAAATCCTGCGGCCTGTGCCGCGTTGGCCAACGGGAGAGGAGCGGGAGGACCAAACAAACTGGCGCTCTTGACGGCGGCGTGGCCGGGCTGGAGGCTTTGGTTCGTGAGGCCATCCTAGCAGGGGCCTTTGCTGCTCCGCAGCAGCTCGGCAGGGTGCTGCGCTGCCCGGCAGGGGCACAAGCTGTGCCAACTCCGGCGAGTTTTCCTGCGTTTCCCTTTTTAACGTGCTGGCTGGACGTGTTTTAAGGGCTTCCTGAAGCCGGCAGCTGCCGGAGCTGGCTGGAGCCTGGGCTTGCTTCTGTTTTCCTGTTCCTCTTGTCTTAACTTATTCTACTGCCTTAGTTAACTGCCTCTTCTTCCTCTTTTAATTTTGGAAAACTGGTGCAAATGAAATTTAAGACCCTGCTGGCCCCTCCATGGACAAATGCAAGCGTTGTCTGCAAAGCAGGAACCTAGCACATTTTATTCTTGGGATCATCTGGACTGCAGCGAGTCCTGGTTAATACAAGTTAGTATCAGGCTCCTATAAATACATTTTCCAAGTAACTTAACCAAAAGGGTGTTCTGCTGAGCACTGCAAACAATCTGTTCTGTTGCAGTGACAGCAACGGGGATGCAGCATGGCCTGCTGCTGTCATTTAAGGCTTTTAAATTTGACTATTTAAAGATATTTAGATGTTTTTGACCTTTAATGTGCGTTCATTGATTCAGTTTTTTGAAAGAGGTCTAAGTTAAAATTATTTTTAAATACTTCAGGAAACAGTTCCTAGCTTGTTTGGAACAGCAGCGTTCGGAGGCACTTGCTGGGTACTGCTCAGAGAGGCTCTTAGCACCTATAGGAATAAGGATCTTTTTTGTTTTGATGTGGTAGCCGCTGGGCACCACCACTGCAGCATGCAGTTCTTGATGTGTTTTTCCAGCTTACAAACCTTATCTTTAGGCTTTCGATACCCTGAAACATGAAATACTGCCATAGGGCCGTTTGCTAGGTTGCCATCCCAGTGGCACTTCCTATAATGCCTGTGTCTGTCCCTAGCACTTTAGAGCAATCACCCTCCTCTTCTTCATTTCTCTGTCCACCTCGGAGCTGACCCCATCATCCTGGGGTGTCTTGGGGCCACCCACATAAATGCGTTTGCAGGGTGACGGTCCCTCCCTGCGCAGTCTGCAGTGGAGGCGCTTGCTCTTCTCACAGCGTGAGTTTGGGTAAGGGTTGAGTAATGACCATTAGCTTAAAATGTCCCAACGCTACTTGTCCTGTCACAGCCTCCGCGTTCAGAGCTGTATTCTGGCCGATACTCAGCTACTGCTTTAATCTCTGCTGTAAAATGGAAGCCTTTTCTGATAACTTTGAAATTACAAAAATATTACACCCATTTTTCATCATTTTCGCCCCTCTCGGCAATGAGCGAGGTGCTGGTGCCTCAGGACTCTGCCCGTGGAGCTGAAGATGAGCTGGTTAATAAGTGGGAGCCCTCAAGGCACTTCCCAACAGGCAGTTGCCTTCCGGCTGCCTGGGGTTGCTCGACACTGAGGCCGAGGAGGGAGATAAGAGGGTGACTGCAGGGAGCCGAGGCCACGGAGCTGGGCAGCCGGGCGTTCCCTCAGGTGGTCGTTCCCTTCATACGTGGCCGTTGTGGACTGCAAACACAATGACTGGAGTGAAACAATGGAGTCTCTTGGCTCCCAGCCCTCCGTGTTGCTTCTTGGCGCCGTTGGGTGACAAGCGCAGAAGGAGCCTCCGTGTGGCCTCGGAGTCAGTCACTGCAGTGCCTTGGCCCCCAGGCTCTCTGTTAATCATCTCACATGAAAATGAAATTTTGGGGCCTTTCGCGGGCATAGGCAGGAGTAGGGAGAGGCATGGAAGGGAGAGCAAAAGCACGTTTGTCCTGTGGAGTTACCTGTTCCTTTGAGAGGTGAGCCCGTTGTCATCACTCGCGTTGGGATCCCGCTTGGGTGTTTTGTTAAACCACTTTGTCTGAGTGGGGAATTCTCGTGAACATGGTTTTAGTCCCTGGCTTTATACTGTACACAGTTCCCCAGTGTCGTTTGCCTCAACGGATGGACTACTGCAGTGTGTAAGAGAAGCAGATAGATCCTGTCCTCATGTTGAAAATGAAGAGCCAAAGCAGCTCAACTTAAACAGTTGGAGAGCAGTGAACAGAGCCCTTCCTATGCATGCTCCAAAGCCAGGTTTCTGCAACACTTTCCTTGCAAAAGGGCAATAAAAACTCTACAAAGCTGGTCCTGTCCTTCTTCCCTCACTCTGTTGGGGTAGCGTTCATTCCTAGAATAACTAGTACCTGGTATTTCCACGCTCTTATAAACTCTTTAGGATAACATGAGGTTACGAAAGATGTAAAGAACACTAAAAAAAAAAGAAAAGAAAAAGAAAGAAAAAAGTAACCAGTGTCTCTATTTTTAGCCAATCCCTAGACGTAACTGTATAGCTGTTTTGCTGACCTTGTCCATTCATGTATAGTCTGTGAATATAGTTACACTTCAGTTAAATTATTGTTAGCTTGCAATTTAATATTAATAGCAACTGACCCCAGTTTCCTCCTCTCTCAAACACATGGTGTCTTATTTCCTATTTATTGTTCTAAAATGACTCTTTATTTTCTGACGGTGGGGTTGGAAAAGCAATGTCAATTAACCATGGACCGGTCCTAACTGAAGTGTAACTGAAGTTTTTCAGTGCGGGTCTCATTGCATTACACTTAAATTTGGTCAAGATTTGCTCTGCTGACATCCTTGGGGGCTTTTGGGGTCACTTCTTAGCCCCTTTTGCTTGATACCTGCTATTGGAGGCCTTAATTGAGCCCCAAGTTGCATGTCCCCAAGGAAAAGTACCCATCTTTTGGGACAGAGGTATGCTCTCCATTGAGAAATGGTCTTGCTCCTCTGCTTGTGTCCTTTCCAATTTTGGAAATTTGTGTTTATATTTTTGATCAATGAAAAATACCCAGTAGCCACAATCCGCCCCAGTTATTTAGTGTCTTTGTCCAGAGCCGAATTTAATTCTGCAAGAATGCAGGAAAGCGGTAACTCCTGGTTTTATGTTTAAAACAGTAAGTAAAATATTTAAAGATATCAAAGGTTTGGGTTTTGTGCTTTTTTTTTTTTCTTGTACCATACCATTTTTCAAGGAAAATAAATTAGCAAAACCTAAAAAAGGTATCATACTGTATGCTATAATTCTCAGGTTATTTTAATAGTTAAATGAGACCTTCAAATACACACTGATACCTTCACTGTTCTACAGAATATTCCACTTTGGAAGGGCTCAGTGCAAAGGTTGATGATGATCTCTGATAATAGATTTGGTTTGCAGAGGGGAACTAAGCTGTTAGCAAAGCAAAAGCCAACAAAAGCAAAATAATGCTGAAATCTAATGTGCGGATCAAAGCTGGAAATGCTGATCACAGTAGGAAATAGTGGAACTTGTGGGTTTAGAAAGGAAAGCTCTAGAAGAGGAAGACTTGCTAAAACTTGCTCCTGTCATGCGGTTGTCAGAGGAACTGAAGGGAGTCAGGGTGCAGAGCAAATAGTGCCATCTCCTGGCCTGGAGCGACCACGAGATGCAGTTATGTTAGTGTACAGGGGAGCGGGGTTGCTGATGCATTTTGGAAAAGTGAAATCCTTTTGGAGCATAGGCTGAAGAATCTATTTATGGGAGAATGGGGTCGAAACACAAGATTTGCTGCAGCCGTGATGACCCACCTGCTTGCAGATGCTCAGGTGCTCGTGGGCTGCTCCGTAAGACGTGGCGTGTTCTCCTGGATTGCCACGTCTCCATGGTGGAGAGCAGCCTTCCCAGCGTCTCACCTTCCTCACGTCTCGTTCTGCAGGTGGCACCCGCGAGATCGGATCTGCCCTGACCAGGATGTGCATGAGACACCGGAGCATAGAGTCCAAGCTGAGGCAGTTCTCCAGGTGAGCGGCTGGCGCCGGAGCCCACGCTTTGCTCCCCTTCGTGCCCGCGGCGCCTGCGCAGCGGAGACCTTGGGCGGCCCTGGTGCAGTGAGAACAGCCTCTCTCCTCTCCCTCTCAAGTGCATTTCACTGCGTCGTCTGGGGTTTGGATTCAGCACCTCAAACCACTCCAACTGCTGCCAGTTCCCCTTGGCAGGTTGCCAGTCAGTGCTGAACAGCCTGCGGTGGGGTGAGGGTCCTGCCCGTGTGTTTTGGGGCTCTAAGCTCTTCACCAAGTGTGAGGGCAGCAGCAGGGCGAGCTGCTGCAGCGGTGCCAGGTGCCACTCGGGCTCAGAGTCTGACTCGCCCCCGCGCTTGGGCGCTGCCTGGTGAGAGGTGACGCTCCATGCTGGGCAGGGTGCTCATAGCTCCTGCAGCTGCTTTCTGCCCCCTGTGCGTGTCCTGTGTACGTGTGTAACTCCCATGGGCACACAAAGCCCGTCAGGCCCCAGGGGGTTGGGCAGAGCACCAAATGAGTGCAATCCCACTGGTTACGGTGGCCCTGTTTGTGGTCACTCCTGGTTTAGGCTCAGTTCCTCCCTGCCCCAATCTGCTACACAGTCATTCTGGTTTATCTTGTGCTGGGGACTTCTCTTCATCCAATCCTTTTCTTTTGGTTTCTCCAGCTTAAGCATTTCTATGTTCTGATATTTGCATTGTGACACTAGTAGCTGTCACAGCAAAAAGTAAAAATACTCCAGTGTTGACCTTGGTTCTCTATAAAAGAATAGGGGCATCTGCAGGATTTGATTGCTCTTTGTGTTTTTTCAACAAAATTAGTGCTTTAATTGACTGTCTGATAAACCCACTTCAAGAACAGATGGAAGAGTGGAAGAAAGTGGCCAATCAACTGGATAAAGACCATGCAAAAGGTAGTTATAGAGGAAGAATTCTTTAATTGGAGTAAGATTGTAATACCAGCTTTGCTTCCTCATTTAATGGTTATACTGGGGATCAGAATGACATGTACTTAAATATGTAGAGCAACTTTTATCTTTTAAAGCACTACATCCAAAAGTGCCTGACAGTTCTTTTTCACTCGTGGACGTTTATTTTGAAGGCACAGTTAGCAGGACCCCAAGTGACAGGTTTTTTTCCTAGGCTGCTCGGCAGTCGTCGTGTTTAATTCTGTTAGTGTTTTCTCACTACACGGTCTCCCATAGTGCAGAGGATGCCACATCCATCCCCACAAATCTCTGGGGTGCAGCAGAAGCTACTGTGAGATCACATTATGTCTCAGCCATAGTGTTCTCCAGAGAAAGCACAGCCTTGACAAGCATTTGGGGCTGGTATTTTCTATCTGGAGGGATCCAGCCCTGGGGTCGCAGCACACGAGGTCTCAGAGCTGCAGTGCTGGTCACTGCTGCAGGGGCAGAAGGGTCCTGCATGGCCAGAGCTGGTGGTGAGACAGCTCCAGCCTTGCAGAACCCCTGCTCTAGTGGGTGATGGCCCTGTAGCACTGCTGCTAAAAGCTGCTCCCAGTTCATCACTGGCCCGCAAAAATTCCAGGCTTTTCTCTGCCTGGGAAAAGCAGCGCTGTGCTGGTTTGTCATGGGGATGTAGGGCCAGCTCAGCTCAGGAGCCAGAGTTTAGGAGGCAGAGTTGGGTGTTGAAGGTCCAGGAGGTCCAGGCACCCTTCCTGTTCTCCCCACCAGCCTGCTTCTGGTTTTCCGTCTATAGAAAGGCAGTAATAGCGACCTCCAGTGTTAAAGTGTGTGTATGTGAACACCCACACATACCTCCCATCTTTTTTATTATTATTATTTTTTAACTGGTTACAGTGGCCCTGTTTGTGGTCACTCCTGGTCAACTTTCATATCTGGTACCATTAGCATGCCTAGGCAGAGGTGGAATATTTTGTTCTGGGTTTTTAATGCTCCTGGGGTTTGCAGCTCGTGCAAAAACGAGGACACCTGCAGTATGCTCCACTTCATGTGCAGAGCTGGCAATGTGACCCTTTGGGCAAAGTTGTAGCACCCTCTCCCTCTGCCTGGCTTTGCTGCTGGATAGGGATTGTAGGATCTTCTCCACCCTGCTGTTTTGGGATCTTGCTTTTTGAGCACAGATGTTTTGAGAAACCCATCACCTCCATTTTCTTTTCCTGAAAGTGGATGAGTGTCTCAACTAAAAAATACTCCCATTTTGCGCTGTGCCCTCAGCTGTTATTTCTCTAGAGGCTTTGTTTATTTGGGAAAGATTCAGTTAATGACTGCGCTTCCATACTTAGCCATAGGCACTACAAAACATGACTTCTAAGCTATTTTGATTAAAAACAGCTATCCTTTTAAAACTTGTAGTCTAATATCTTTAAGTATAGCCTTTTCTATGAAAAACCTTGATTTTTAATATCAGATGTATTGATACAGAGACTGTGTGTTTTTTTAGAATACAAAAAAGCCCGCCAAGAGATAAAAAAGAAATCGTCTGACACACTGAAGCTGCAGAAGAAAGCAAAGAAAGGTAACTTGCTCCATACTTGTGCTCTCAAGCACCTCTTTGCTGTGCTCATTGACACAGATTGAACAACCACAGGACCTTGTAGTCCCATAGCTTGGTCCCCTGTTATCTACTGCTGATATGGACGTGAATAGCAGGGTGCAATTGCTGTGTGTCACTTCAATCGTATCTGAATGCTGCTGTCTAATGTTCTTTTACAAAAGCCTTGAAGCTGTTTGTACAGAGTCAGTCATTTTTTAAAGCTGAATGCTTGCTGCTGATTCCTGCTAAGAGCATTGATGTTGTAACACCACTCGTGCAGATGCCTTTAAAATCTTCTAGAATCTTTTGGAATAATACAAAAAAGCCATTATGTAAATGCTCTGTAACTGTTAACATTTCTCTCTGTTCTCCCTTTCCACCCTCACTTTTTTACAGCCTGTAATCTCCTAAGTCTTATCTCATTCCTTAGGAAGTGAGAAGGTGGGATGTTGTCAGGGAGGGCACTTGGCAACTGTAGAAACCTAGAGATGAGTAGGAAAAAAAAAGGAGGTCTCCACAAAGGGATCTTTGTTTTTTTAGCAGCTGAACCTCATGCTTCTATTGCTCTCCCACCACCACCTTGTCATAGGAGTTGCTTCATCATTTTCACGGAAACATGCCTCCACTTAGGTATTTGCAGTGTTACCCATTCCTAAAGGTGTCATTTAGCAAGGTGTAAATCCTGTCAGGCTTTGTAAAGCTGATGGGGACCTCGTATGGAAGCAAGTGAGCTCGTTCCCTTTGCTGGCACAGGGCTCCTACCAGCTTTAAAGCTCTTGGGCTGTGGGGTGCAGCTTGTGCTTCCCCTCCTGCCTGGAAACTGTGAGCTGGGGATGAGAGAAACAGGAAACTGCCAGCCTCAGTGTTCGACCTTTCCAAAGCCTCTCAGTTTAGACCTACCTGTGCTTTATCCGGAATAGGTGAGCGGTCCCTAGCTGTCCTGCCAGGTAGGTGAGTTGTTACTGCCCTGGTCGAGCCACACGGCTGGCAAACTGCTCCCCTATATGAGCTGGTTTGTAACAGGGACGAGGAAAGGGCACAGCTGGAGCTGATGGGAGGGAGGAGCTGAGCTGCCTGTGCCCGGCCTGTCTGTCTGCGTGTTGCTAGAAAAGTCCAGTATTTTGGGTCAGAATGTTTGTCCTCAGCGGTTGTATTTTTTGTGTGTGTGTGCGATGAGACTTTTTTGTTGTTGTTTTGTTAACTTGTTCACCATTTTGTGTGATGAGTTGTGTCATTTCTGACTAACATGCTCTTCAAGAGCATGCTATTCCCTCCCCCTTTTGCCTTCCTTCCCCCTTTCTGGTCTGACCTGTGTTGTCCCGCTATAACAGGAGCAATCCCTTGGTGAGATGGGAACTGAGAAGAGTGTGTCCATGTCCTGGGAATGATCAGTGATTAAATTGGAGCTTGTTTCTATAAGTGGCCAGATGGTTAAAGCAATAGTTAATAGCAATAGGTGAACAAGTGGGCAGCAGTAGCTAAAGCAAGTGGACTGAAGTACTTAGGAGAGGTACTTTCTCCTAACACTTTTGGGTTCATCTCTGTGTTCGCTAACATGCCATGCCCAAGCAAGAGGAGATTGGCCCACCAGTGTCTTGTCCTCCTTCAGGATTAAACTTCTGCAAGTGGGGAGTGGAATAGACCTCATTTTGCCATGGTTTTTATGGCAGCCCTGCTGCGGTTGAAGTATCTGCATTATTTCTTAGAGCCTTTCCCTCAGTGCAGTGCTAGGAGATGCTCCCAGGGCTATCAGGGAATCTCCTGTATTTCCAGAGCATGAAACAATGGGGTCCAGAGCAGAAGCTGAACGGAGCTGAGGGAGAGGGAAGGCCGGGGCAGAGAGAGGCGCGTGGGGCTGACAGGAGCGATGAAGGCGCCCAGGTAGCCAGCACGAACAGGAGGAGGAGGAGCTGCAGGAACCTTTGGAGGAGCTGAGGGCTGCAGACGGGAGCACAACACCCAAACCTGCCAGGCCGGCTGGTCCCCGCGCACATGGGAGGGAAGTGGGAGGAAAATCCACCTTTTGACAGGCTAGTTAAATACGGAAGGGAAGAAAGCAGCAGTCCCTTTTCCCTTCTTTGCCTTTTTGATCCTTCCCTTGAAGTAGGAAAGCGTTTGCTTGGATTTGTAAGAGCGGTGTCAGGTGTTACTGTGCAGACGTTGCTGTGTGTCTTCTGGCAGGCCTGTTTGATGTGCTACGTGGTGCAATGTGTTGCTCTTGTCACTGAGGCAAAAACATCACCAAGAAGGGGTTTATTTACAAAATGATAGCTCTCTCGAACTGAGTTTGCTTTGGGGCACAAGGGAGGCTTGAGCTTGTTGGCCAGGAAAGCCTCCAGTGAAGCCGCCCTGCATGTGGCCGAGCGCATGGATGCTCCTTTTGCTGTGTCGTTGGCTCCCCCCTTTCCTTGTTGGTCAGACTTGTTCTTCTGTTCTGCTTTTCCTCGAGTGCTGTCTTGCTCTTCATTTTTTTTACTAACTCACCTACGGGACCTCTAAACCCACAGACCTCTTCCCTACCTAATGCTTGTTAAAATGGTTTTGAATAGACCTTACGATCATTTGTGGGCAAGTGAGATGTTTGCCAAGCTCTGGATTTGGTGAAATACTGTGCATGCTACTAAAAATCAGGCTTTTCCTAAGGCAGCTTCCTGCTGGGACTGGATGGGCAGCGATTCCCTCTGGGCAGCTTTAGCTCTGGAAGCTGAGACCCAGCCCTGCCCTTCTCCCTCGCATGTATTGGGATGGTGGTGCCCTCCCTCCCTGGTGCATCGGGCTGTGGCGTCTGCTCTGCCCCTCGCATGGCATCTCCTGCCTCCTTCCTGCATCTCTGGGGCTGGGGGAGAGCTCCCTGGCCCGTGGGGCTCGTCCCGGCGGGCAGGTCAGTACCCTGGAGCACCACGGGGCCAGGGACCTTTGGGTTTGCACCTTCTCCAGCTTCGCATGGTCTGTCTGGTCCGATCCCAGGTGGCCAAGCTCAACGTTCAGGCCTGGCGTTGGAGATCGTTTTTTAGAAATTATGGCCGCACAGTCAGGTTTTCTTGTTGTTGTTGAGTTTTTCTTTTTATTGCAATAAAATACTTCCAAAGCAAGAAGAGATTAGGAAAATAGCAGTCTTAGGACCCGGAGATGTTTTGGGTTTCCATTTTGGAAGCTTGCTGGAGTTTAAGTGATAAAATGACAAATCTTTGTGGAAATCTAAGTGCTGTATTTTGAGGGACCTTTCAGGGGTAATTATCATTCTTTTTGCTATCTTCAACAGTAAGAAATCCCTGTGAAATATAAATCCATGCTGTCTAAATAGGAGCCTGGAGGACCAGATGCATGTGAAGGTTTTATGCTGAGTCAAGGCTTCCTGTGCTACTAGAAGCTATTGCAGCTGTACTGAGCTCGGAGGAAAGGTTGCAGCAGCTTTGGCTCTGCCTGTTATCACTTCCATAGATCAACAAGATGAAAAGAAAAAAAAAAGGGGAAGGGGAAAAAGAGGGAAATAAAGGATCGAATTGTAATACTCAATTAACTAAAATATAACAACATATCATGTGAAGTCTGGTGTGCACCTTGGCTGTATTCTGTGTTTTGGCCTTGGATGTTTATGACTGAGCAGGCAGGTTTCAGTTCTGCTCATGGCATATCTGGAAGATTTCACTTTGGGGCTCTTCACATGGTACTGAGAGCCGGCTTGGAGGGGAAAAAATCCAAAGGCATTTTTGCAAAGGAATTATATTTCAGTCCCAATAGAAGCCCGAGGCTGTTATATGTGAAAGCTGCATTTTGCCTTCATCCAGAGATGTTTCTGCAGAGTGCCATAAACATTCAGCACAACCTGAGTCCTGTCCTGTCCGTGTTGGGTATCCCGACGCGCAGCCTGTGCTTTGCCTTGTTCGATGGGTTTGAACATGCTCTTACCAGCCTTCTAACAGCACTGAGGGAACAGAAGGATGATTAACTTAATATGATACTGTCAAAAGTGCCTTTTCTTCTCCTTCCTCCCGCTTAGCTGAGATTACACGTTTATGTTTTCGGAGCCTTTGCAGCTGTTTTCTGTTGCTCACAAACCATGACACTTGCTGTACAGTCCTCAGGAAGGATTGTGCAAATCCTATGACTCTTGGCTAAAAAGCAGGAAACTCTTCCACACAGTCATAACTGAGGAACATACCTGTTTTTAAGCAAATGCAGACCACCTCATTCAGATACTTTGCATGGTCCCCATCCTGAGCGCTCCCAGAGGGGGGACCTCTGAGCAGAGCCCAACTCCACTAGGTTATTTCTTCAAATGGGTCAAGGTTGGGGAGGTGAGTGAAGGGAGAGCCAGGCCTTGCTTTGCTTTTGATACGATATAGCTCAGGAGGAGGGGAGCTAATTAGCAAACTATCCTTATCTGCTTCAGGGAGAGATCCTGTGTAGATTTTTGTAGTGCCCGAGATACTTTTTGCCTCCCAAAACCTTTGTAATGTGAGCTCCACTTCAGAGAACGTGAGTGAAGACGTGTTGCCAACTCAGTGACCGCAGATCTCTCCGACTTTCATTTTCCTTCCCCGGGTTTGAATGTCATTTGACACTTCTCTTCCTCTTGACAGGCAGCCAGGTTTATGCAGAGCTTGATATAAAGTTTTTTTAATTAAAATGTGCATATCATGGTTAATCTTTCTGATGTTCTTCCACACTGCATCAGCAATTAGTGTTCCGTTTAATTAACAATCTATTGCTGTAATTGCAGGGGGAACATCACAGGGCTCTGCGGTTGCTGATGCAGCCGCCGAGCTCCCGGGTCGCGCAGCGGGATGCGCCGGGTTCCTCTGCGCCCGCCCGGGCAGAGCTTGTCTGCGTTGTGCACTTGCTCTGAGACACAAATTACATGTTCTTGCCTAAGAATCTGCAAGCTAAACAGGGTTCCTAAACTGATGTAAATTTCTTGATTAAAAGTGCATGATAAATAACCGGGCGTTTGATTTACAGCAGCTCGTCAGTGAGCAAGGCTGATGCGCTTGCCTTCAGCAGCAGCAGAAGTCAAAGTAGGCTACTCCAAACTGCTCCCCTCTTGTCTCAGAGCTGATGATAATGTCTGAACTGCTCTCGGAGTGCTGCAACAGCCATTTGACTTTTGTTATTTTCCTTTCTGTGTCAATTTTGTGTCCTGCCATTTCTCACCATGCGCACCCGCCTGCCAGCTGAGGCTCTCGGTAAGTCTGTGCCATGCGGTAACCCTGGTGGCTGGTTTATTGTAGCCCTTGCTGTGGCCTCCTTATGGTGTCTGGTCTCCACTAACTGCCTAGACTTTAATTCCTAATGAGACTAAAACGTGGCCTACTCTCAATGAACAAACCATCTTTTGATTTGCATCTTCTTTTGGCATCTAATTGGAGCCCTTGTAAAAGAAGGAAATTGGTTTTGTAGCCCAATCTCTGATTTATTTTAGAAAGGGATTATTGTGGACTGATTAAAGCATATCCTGGTTGCAAGAGAAGCTAAATAGTACAGACATGTCATCAAGGTGATTCAAATAATGGAATATCTCATTGTCAATATGACTTTTAAAGTCTAGAGCTTCAAGTCCTTAGTGTTGTTTTTTTGTAAACCTGTGGTCCGAATCCCTTTCTCCTAATTTCGCATGCACCATTCTAAAGTGATAGATAAGAAATCACATATAACTCCATGCTGGGAAGGGGGAGAACTGGCCTCACAAGTGTTTCTTCTTCTGCTGCTTGATCACACCTTAAAGCTGTTTAAGTTGGAGTATTTTTTTTCCAGTAGTTGTATTGAAAATGTACTTGCTTTGAGATCTTCTGATGTGAAATATAGTGTGTTTGAGAGGAAGTATCAGGCCTCGAGCAGTAGGAATAGTCCTGGGTTGCTTAATCCTGCCCTGTGGAGGAGCCTAGATTGATCAGACAGGGAGGTTCCTAATCGAGGTGCCTCAGCTGGGCTCCGGGGACCTGCCACAGGATACCTAGTTTGAAACTGTGCTTTGGTTTTCTTGCTTTGCAATTAGATCTATGAGTTTCATTTGATAACTTGGACATTTTAAGACAGACAGCGTAACCCCTGGGGACTTCAGCAGCTGAGTCAGATCTGCAGCAGTCACTGGAAAGAGCCAGGTTTGGTTGCTGAATTTCTTGAATTATCTTCTAAAGTTACCCCCCAGCAAATGAGGTTTTCCACCCTTCTGAAAGCTGCTGCAGAATGGTCATTCTCAGCATCACATCCCTCTGTGTGGGAGGCCAAGGGGTCGCTCCTCCTGCAAGGCTGAGTGGGTCCCTGCAGTGAGGAGAAGGGTTTGGGGATGGATGGCTTTGAGCTCGTGCTGGCTTGCACTGCTAGACATGGACATGTGGTTACACAGGGTCAGTGCTGGCCCCATGTGTGAAGTGTCCGTGCAAGGAACAGTCCTTAGGTGAGAATGGGAGCTGGGAAATAGCAATTTCAGCAGTGTTTATTGCATTATCTCCTTTACCAATAATATCATTAGCTTTAGCAGTCGCACTGAGAATGAGAGCATTTAAAATCATAGCTGCTCTTTGTTGACAGTTTTGCTAGTTTAAGTTGCATTATGAAACATAAGCATGAAATTAGGTTGAAAATCAAACTTGCCTTTTGTCTTCTCCCTAATATGTTCCTTTGACTGAAGTTTCATTTCAAACTGTGGTTATTTAAGAATTTGCATGAGGCTTTTAGCTGTAGACCACTGCAAAACTGATCTTTGAATGCACATCAGTCCTTCAAAGCTCTTGCATGTCATGCTAGTGATGTGAAGCACCTTCTCTGAAGGTCACGTCGTGAGACCACTTGGTGAGTAGTGATGGGTTCCTGTCGATACTGCTGAGAAGTGATTCCACCGCTGCAGTTTCTCTCCTGCCCCGTGTTGCTTTGGGCCTGGCAGGCTGCGGGCAGGCTGTGACTTCTGGTGCTGCATTTGTGCTCCTTGCTGCTGCAACGCTGAAGCTCCCACTGGAGAAAAAGGGGATTTGCGTTTCTCCTGGCGTTTCAGGTCACTGACTCATCCTCTGCGTGCAGGTGGATGTGTTTTGCAGAGCCATCCTTGCAGATACTCATTTCTGGCCGATTCCAGGTCAGAGATCAGTGACTACGGTGGACACGTTTGACCATCTCTAGAGCTGAGTGTTTTGATGGGTCATTCAAACTGGTCTCCGGCTGGGGTAGGAGTGTCCTTTCAGGTCCACCTTTGCCCACCTTGGCCATCCAGGTGTTAATAATGACACTGTCCTGGAGCTATTTTTTGTCATTATAAAAATTGCATGGATTTGGAAATGTTTCCAAGTGTGTAACCTAAAGCCTTTACTGCACTAGAGAGAATAATCAATGCTTATGTTCCTTATGAAGGTCTACCTCGAGTCCACAAAAAGAGATTGCGATAGATTTTCCAATAGATTGCAAAAATAGTGCACTCAGTTGTCAGGGATACCCTTAAGCAAGTGACCTTCCCTTTGCAATCCAAGGGGAAAACCCATCATCGCTGTCATGTGGCGGGTGCGGAGCCAGCAGGGCTTGGAGACCTGGTGTCTGCAAAGGCTTTTGACACTGACCTTTCCTCCCGAGAAACAGCAAATTCAGACCAAGGAAGGTTGGAGTGTTGGAATGGGGAATGATGCCCGTGTGTAGGAGAGCTGTTTTGGAGAAGACGAAATGAGTTGAGAGCGAGCTGGTTTTGTGCCCTATAAACCTCTGACTTGAGAAGCTCATCTTAGCCATTCTAGAGAATGGCTCATCCAGCCGTTCTGGAGAAGCTTGTCCAGGCCGTTCTGGAGAAGCTCATCCTGGCCATTCTGGAGAAGCTCCTCCAGGCCGTTCAGAGCACCTGAGCCGGCTCAGAGCTCTGCATTACACCCTGGAGAGCTCAGCTGCTTTCACTGCCTGCACAGGCACCCAAGAGCCTCAGCTCCATAACATTGTGGTAGACGGTGTGACTGCTGATTTCCTGATTTACTTAAAGGTGTAAAATACAAATGTTACAAAATACAAAATGTTGCTGCAGCGGATGCTGGAGAGAGGTGGTTAGAGCAGTTCTCCCGAGCCAAAGCACTGGGTGCATGATTTAGTTATCAGTTAATATGTTTTGCATCTTCTATAGCCATATACACAATCCAGGGTTAAAGAACACGAGCTTATTTCACCTGCTACCATTTCCAGGCTGCTCTGGGTTTACAGAAAGTAATAAGTGTGAGGTATGATGGTAAGGCTAAGGTTTGCCTTTGGTAGCTCTCACCTTGAGTCATCTCGTGGAACAGGCTGTTTTGTACAGCACGCATCAGGCTTGCTTTCTTTCTCTTGCTCATGGCTTTAAGTAAGTCATGCACACACAAAATTTGTCCATAAAATGGATTGTGCATAAAAATTGTTCATTCATACTTCGTTTGTGGTGTCTCTGGAAGAGCTGAGAGAAATTTATGCAACTCAGGTTCTTCAAAATAATCAGAGTTGTAGGTTGCTTCAAAAATCTCCTAACTGCAACAGTGCTGAGTCAATATTGCTAGAGTTAAGCAGCTCTTCGTTACTAGAGGGATGAGTTTTTGGCATGATGCAGAGTTAGCAGTTGTTGCAGAGTAAGATACTTAACTGCTAGAAAATTTCAGTGTTATGTATGAGTTGGCTCAGGGTAAACTAGGTGAAGCTTTGTGTTGGCAAAACAATATATTGTTTCTTCTTTTTAACTTTTCGTAGACAAATTCAGGACTGGACATACTCGCGTATTTTAGATGTCAGTGGTTATTTTTATTTGTTTTGAACCATGGAATGAAGAAAGGTGTTTTGCTGGTTGCTTGGGTAAAGCAGTTGAATCTTGGGTCCAGCACTCAGGAGAATGTCCCTACTGTCATGTCGTGTAGAAGACTCATTCACTCACACAGACACTGCCCAAAGTTGCCAGCAGGAGCTTGCCAAGCACGACGGTAGGAAGGAAGAGGAAAATGCCTGGGATTAGTGATGGATGCCTCCTAATCAGTAAGATGTTGGTTGTCAGGGAGGATGACATGAGAGGTTGTAACAACTAAGAGCTTGAGAGAGTCCGTACATGAAACGCTGCTTTTGCCTTGGTGGAACTCTCTTTGGATTGAGATGGGTTTCTTTCGTAGGGTAAAAGGGAAAAATGATGGAAAAGTTTAATTTCAATGAAAAAAGACCTTTTAATTTGAATTAGGGGAAAATACTGGTTGAAACTTGAATTGCAAAAGCAGTCCGGCAGCAGTGCTGACGGAAAGCAAGGGATTTGTCTCTCTAGACCAAAGATTTGACAAAATGCCCTCCTGGTTGTTCCCTGTGTGCAGGACGGGGTGACATTCAGCCCCAGCTGGATAGCGCTTTGCAAGACGTCAATGACAAGTACCTGCTGCTGGAGGAGACGGAGAAGCAAGCTGTCAGGAAGGCTCTCATCGAGGAGCGCGGCCGCTTCTGCGCCTTCATCTCCATGCTGCGGCCTGTCATAGTAAGAGCTCTCGTTTCACGTTGGTCACTCTGCACAAGCTTTTTGGAATTTCTAGAGACGTAGAAACTACCCAAAATCCTACCTGCATGTCTGTCTACGCTGTGGCAAGAGCTGGGCACTTTTTCATGGGGCCCTGGAGTAATTTGGAGACCAAAGGCTCTGGAAACTTTCAAGATGACTCATACAGAAAGATAGGGCACAAAGACTAGCGTGGATCTTGAGTCCCTACAGATGTGGCCCTGAGGCACCACTCATGCAGCTTCCACCACTCTTTTTTTCTTAACATCACATTTCAATGTAAAACACCTTCACTTCTACTCTAGCAGTAGGACTGAACTGTTTCAAGACTTCCCCTGTGTGTGTAATGACATTATCTGACAGATTGTGGCCTGCTCCCATGCAGTTTCCTGGCAGCTCTTTCCCACCCACATGACAGCTTCTTCAAATCCTTCCAAAAGCTTAAGTGTATTTTCATAATCCCAGGTTGTCTGCTGCCCAGAGCTGCACGTTTGTGGCTTTGTGTCAGCCTGACGTGGTTCTGAAGAGGCTTCCATGTAAAACATTCCTGGTGTTTGTTCACAAAGAGCATTAGCCTCAGCTGAAAAATGTGGTTAGAGAAGTAGGAAGCTGATGGCTGAGCGGTAGGAGGGGAACTGCACACCCACAAGACCTGGATGAAATTGCCAGGGTAGCGGCAGGATTTCTGTGGTAGCCTACGGTGCCGATACCGTCAGCAGAGAGCCAGCTCCTCATGTCCTACGAGCCAGCATGAGTCGCTGGCACAGGGCCTTGGTCAACGTCTCTAAACCCAACAAGAAGTATGAATTTAACCACTGTTTACCTGCAGGGTTAAAATCACAGAATCACAGAATGGTGTAGGTTGGAAGGGACCTCTAGAGATCATCTAGTCCAACCCCCTACTCCAGCAGGGACACCTAGAGCACGTGGCACAGGGTGGCATCCAGGCGGGTTTGAAGATCTCCAGAGAAGGAGACTCCACAACCTCTCTGGGCAACATGTTCCAGGGCTCTGTCACCCTCACAGGAAAGAAGTTCTTCCTCACACGGAGGTGGAACTGCCTGTGTTTCAACTTGTACCTCTTGCCCTTTGTCCTGTCACTGGCAACCACCGAGAACAATTTGGCCCCATCTTCTTTACATACTCCCCTCATGTATTTGTACATATTGATCAGGACCCCTCTCAATCTTCTCTCCTTAAGACACGTTAGTGAGTTTGCATAGAAAGAGATAAACCTATTCCAAATGCAGTGACTGTGACTCTTTTTTTGAAGATGTGACCAAAACAGTGCTGAGATTTACTTACCTCATTGACAAGAAAGGATGTTTAAGCCTCAGAACTTAGGCAATCTTAAAGTAGGCATAAAACTCTGAATGTTTCCAAGCCTCTTTCCATGATTTATGGACAAAGAAAAAGCAACTCCCCTGGGATTGACTACAATCACCAGCAAAACGCAGAAGATGATTGTATATTGTGTTTTGGTCCTCATTTATAAAACCAAGGCAGTCATTAGTCTTGCTGATTTGTCTCTTCAGGAAGAAGAAATATCAATGCTAGGAGAAATAACACATTTACAAACCATATCAGATGACCTGAAAAGTCTCACCATGGATCCACACAAATTGCCATCTTCAAGTGAACAGGTTAGCTCTTGTTACTGGGAAAGTATTTCATCTTTCAGCTTGCACTATTTTAAGTGTTAGGAGAAATATTGACTGAATATCTACTACCCTTAAAATGCATAAGAAAATATTTATAGTTAAATGTTTAAATAAATTAGATCTTAGGTGTGCTTTTTAAAGATTTTTTTCTGTTCAAACTTAAACTGTCCATCTGTAGCACCATAGCATTGAAGTATGCTAGTTTTAGGGAACTCAAGGATGAAGCTGAATCATAGGAAGTGGCATATACAGTCCAATTCTAGCAGAAAACTGAGACTGGCTTAATAGGCATTGAAAACTTGTGATGAGGAATGCTGGAGACAAGCAGATTCTTTCTGTTACTAGGAAAATCTATATTTTAAGTTGTTGATGCTATTGATTATCTTTTATCAGGTAATTTTAGATTTGAAAGGTTCTGATTACAGCTGGTCTTATCAGACTCCTCCATCCTCTCCCAGTACTACCATGTCCAGAAAATCCAGTGTTTGCAGGTAAGTAGATGGGTATTACTTCATTTTAACCTCTTTGGGGGCAAAGGGAGGAAGGTTCAGACTGTAATACAGATTTGTGTGCATAATTAGAACTTAAATAAGAACTCTTAATGAAATCAATCCCTCATGGTCTTCATCTGTTTACATGTGTGACTAAGAATATTAAAAAGGATGGACATGACTGAACAACTTTGAACTCAAGACAACTTGAAGATGCTTTTAATTCAGTTCTCTTGAACCCATTCCAGATCCAAGAGCAGACTATACTGATCTAAGCTCTGAGATTGTTCATTCATAATTTCCTTTTCTGTTTTTCATATGATAGCTTTTTAGATTATTCTAAGTAGCCGTTACTAATTAGTAAGTTAAAGAGTTTGAAAAGGAAAAACATCCTTGCCGATTACCCTATCAGTGTGGTACATGGAAATGCTTTTTTTTGATACAAATTCTTTGACTGTTTAGTGCTGTCTAATGCTGTCCCCGGATATGTTGGAACACTTGGATCCTGTTGACGCTTTCTCTGTAAAAACTGTTTTCTCTCATAAAACAGTTTATTAGCATGTTACCCCTGGACCCTGATGTCTACATTCACTGTTTCCTTTTACTGAAAAGGAAGATACTGTGTTGTGCATTCTGCTCTAACACCTTTGTAGCTGCTCTCAAGTGATGACCTTTTGGTTTGCTCTATGAATAATGTACTACAGGTTGCCTGTGTATGAGCAAAGTTACCTGTAGCATGTCAGAACAAGTGAACATGACTACTTATATGTATGTACTTGCCTCTGCATGCAGATATATATAAAAAAAAGTTGCAATACTTTTATATATATGTGAAAACACACATATTTAAAGCATTGAGCACAGGCTTAAAGATGCAATATCCTGAAGCTGTAAAAGAAAATGGCTGGAAAATCCATCACCTGTTCCTAATCAACCTCATCTTGTGCAGTAAAATCTGTGGCAAGAGGCTGTTGTGTATGGATAAAAAAAAATGAAGGGCTCCTTTTCATCTGCACCAGCCTTGTACATCTCACTTTACACGAAATTTGGGGATAGAAAGTGCAGTCCTTGCCCGTGTATCCTTTAGAGCCATCCCTTCAGCTAGAAGGTGGGTTCTGCCAACAAGAGTAGGAGTCTGCCTTCGGATGGATGTATCCTGCTAGTGCCACTCGGTCACCTCCGCAGCAGAAGGGGACTTTAAAAGCTCCTACACTGTGGCTAATTAATCACTGCGTCATTGACAGATACTGGAGATTAAAAACCAATCCCTGTGATTCGGAAGTCAGAACCCTTCTTTCGTAGACCCTACCTGGGAAGTTCTGATTCTCCTTGATCCCCTCCCTACGTGCCGCGAGGTGGCTCCACGGGCCCTGCTGTCCTGGTCGGGAGCTGTCGTGCGAGCGAAGCTGCTCACGGGCACGCTGAAGGTCGGGGCTTTGGGGCTGCTTTCAGCAATCTCACGTGTTAGCCTTGTGCCTGCTGAAGCCACACGCCCCAGTGCAGCCTTTTGGATGCCCTGTGAGGTGTTGAGCGCCCTGCTCAAGGGATCGCCATGGAGTTTGGCCCTTAGCACAAGGCCTGGGAGCGGGAGGGGTGTGTGGAGGCTGCACCAGTGTCGAGGCTGGGCAGGACACGGAGCCATCTCCTCTGCTGGGCCTGACTCAGCCTCCTGGGGCCTGCCCTCCAAAGAAGTGGGATCGTTTGAGTGAGGTTCAGGGTAAAAAGTGCCATTTTCTCTGTGCTCACAAAGGATACTGCAACTGCTTCTCATACTTTACTGAGATATATGTGCATATATATATATATATAAAAATTTATTTTGCCAACCTCTTTTGTTTTTCCTCCGGTTTATGCTGCCTGTTGCTAGCAACACGTGGAATGTTAATTGTACCGTATATGGGTCTCTCCCACCCCCCCTCTTGTCTTTTCCTCTCCCCCTTCCTCTCTCTGCTCCTTTTGTCTCTCACAGCAGTCTGAACAGCGTTAACAGTAGTGATTCCCGCTCCAGCGGCTCGCACTCGCACTCACCTAGTTCACACTATCGCTATCGCAGCTCCAATCTGCCTCAGCAGGCCCCCATGAGGCTGTCCAGTGTGTCCTCCCATGACTCTGGATTCATGTCCCAGGATGCTTTCCAGTCCAAATCGCCATCCCCTATGCCACCAGAAGCACCTAACCAGGTACGTGCAAGCACGGGAACGAGACGTGAGCTGGACACCTTCTTTAAAAAAAAACCTCTTACCTGTTTTTGGGGGTACCTTGGAGTTAGGTTGAGCACTGAAGGTAATTCCCACCTCACTGAACTTCATTCCTGTAAAAGCTGGGCCTCTCGTTGGCATCTTGATGCTGTCCCCTCAAAGGTTAGCACTGCAGGATGGGACAGTCACTCTCTGGTTGTGGGATCTCTGTTGGTCCTAGATGCCTGAGTTTCAGATACGTCCAGGTGGGAAATAGTGAGGGCAGTCCACGGCAGGGGAGGGAATCGATACTCACTTCACCCACCCAGGTTAGTAATTATGAGGTTACTCGTTAAAAGTCCTTCACAGGTTGCAATTTATGACGATCTGGTGGCTGTTTGCTGCTTGATGGACACATATCCATGCCAGAACAGTCTTGTGACAACTGCTGTTGACACTGGTGACTGGCTGCAGGCCAACGATAACTTTAATTTTCACACTGACCACTTCAGCATCACCAGTTGCCAAGCTGGCTACTTCTAGACCACCTCTGACCGGAGGTAGGGCCCCTTGCCCCCCAGTCCTTCCAGAAACATTTATTCAGTCAGCACCACTTAGTGAAACGTTTAGGATATCATCCAGAACAACCTGGTTCATTCAGGATCATATTCTTAGGGAAAGCTCAACATTTTTATTTTTTTCTATTTATCTCTTTCATTTTAATAGAAATGCTCTGATTTCAAGCACGTACTTCTTCTGCAGTGTCCCCAGTCTGGACACATGAACATTGTGTTTTATAGACAACATCCTGAAACAGCTGGATGTAGAACTTTGTGCAGACTAATTAAATGAATGTTTTATTTAGATGGGCTATGGCTAACCTAAATGAAATGCAAAAAAAAAGTAAATGAACACATATAAACTGGAATAGTAACAAGGTAAGGAAGTTGATTTTTAAGATACATGCCTCAGTTTTACTTGCTAGCATCATCTTTGCATTTCATAGTATCCACTGCACTGGCATAAGAAAGTGGTAGTCTACACAGTGATGCAGTGTTTGCAGATGGGTGGTTAATTTTGCAATTATCCTTAACATGAATGAATAAGAAGGAGAGGAATAAGAAGAAGAATTTAAAAAGTCCCTCTTTGCAAATTTCCCTTTTAAGATGGGGAGAGAACTTAGGTTGATATCAGCCAGCTGAACACCCCTGAAGTTGGAGTCGTGCTGATTTACCCCAGCTAGGAACCTTGTTCCTCTGCCTTTACTTCATTTTAGACACTACCCCTAAAGTTGCAAACTGACCCCAACATCACCCGAGCTCTTCACGAGCTGTAGGAGGCTGCGGCCGCGCGACGTTGCCTGCCAAGTGCAGCCTGTTGGTGTAGCAAGTGGGTCTGTGCTCTGTACGTCTGCGGCTCTGTCTACCTTTGCGCAGAGGGAAGGTAACAGACCATGGCCTGGCCGCTTCAGCTGCGCTTCCGTGTCCCGCTTTGTGTGTTCAGCACTACGTGAAACGTGTGTGTCCTGCTGGCAGGGAGCTGTGACCGTGAGCTCGCCGAGAGCTGCTCGGGGGCCGCGCGTGTCGTGTTGTGTGTCTAACCGACTGCCAGCTCTTCCTCCGGTGCTGCGGCTTGGAGGCCAGGGAGGAGCAGCGAGCTGGGCTGCCCCGTTCCTGAAACACCGGTGTCTTTGTTCCTGGTGATGCTGGGAAAGCAGCAAAGCAAGCCCTGGAAGCAGGAAAGGAAATTAAAAGCTGTATGTCTTGCACAGATGGGTGCTTTGCTGATGGTGTTTGCTAGCTCCGTGCGTTGGAACCTACCAACAGCAACAAAGCTCTTTTCTTTCAATAAAAAAAAAAAAGGCAGAAGCAGGAGACAAAATTCCCATTTCATCTGAGTGCAACCATGAGAGCTATTTGAGATTTTTTGTTCTCATCTATGTTTTAGACACCTTTCCCCCATCTGATTCTGAATAAAATCAGTTTAATTTTCAGCATAACTCCCAAGCAAAGAATAACTAGGGATTTAAACAAACAAGATACGGATTTTGTGAAAGGAGAGATAACTGGTGCAGGGAAGATTATAGTCCTCGAGTAGTAGGTCTTTATGTCTTTATTATCCTCCATAGAGGAAAGGACAAAGAGGGATTCTAAAACCAGCCTCTGTCCTTAATCCTGTATTAGTGCAATCTCCGTTCTGCAGTGTTGTGATTAGCATCACTGGGAGCAAAGGTGTTTTCCCCTGCCAGACAGCTGTAAGTTTGGAAAGGTTGCTGTAAAATGCTCAAATCTTAATTAAGCAATGCATTTGGATATAGCTGAACCGTTGAGGAGCAGGACAGCTCTCTTCCTGGAGCTGAGCAGCTTCTTTAAGTGCCAGGTTGAAGGCCAGCGTTGCCTGCGGCCTGTCCTTGAGCAGCAGACTGGCTGCTTGGGAGAACAGAGCATCTCTGCTCTGTGGCTTAGTGATCTGGGCCTGTTTAGCCTGGAGAAGCAAAGACTGAGAGGAGATCTGATCAACATGTTCAAGTACCTAAGGGGTGATTGTAGGGAGGATGGGGCCAGGCTCTTCTCTGTGGTGGCCGGTGACAGGACGAGAGGTTAACGGATGTAAGTTGAAACACAGGCAGTTCCACCTCCATGTGAGAAAGGACTTTCCTGTGAGGGTGACAGAGCCCTGGAACTGGCTGCCCAGAGAGGTTGTGGAGTCTCCTTCTCTGGAGATCTTCCAAACCCACCTGGATGCCACCCTGTGCCCCGTGCTCTGGGTGTCCCTGCTGGAGCAGGGGGTTGGACTAGATGATCTCTAGAGGTCCCTTCCAGCCTCAACCATTCTGTGGCTCTGTGATCTCCTGGGTGTTCCCTGAGCTGGTTAGTGCTGCCCGACCTGCGCGCAGCGTCTGGGGAGTGAAACGGGGTCTAGGAGGGATCACCTGGTGTGGGGGCAGTCGTACAATCCGAGCAGAGCTGTGCTTGGGTTAGGAGGAGGTGGAGAAAAGGATCATCGACTGGAGGGGGAGAGAAGCTGCGTTGTGAGAGCAGGGTGGGAAACGATTGTGCAGGTGGATTTTAAAGCTTCTGCCTCCATGGGGATGAAAGCAAGTGTTGAATGAAGAGAAAGGAGCTGGTAAAGGAGGAAAGGGAGCTGTCAAATTGCAGAAGACTGCTGAATTTTTCATTGTTACAATGTTCTTGAAATAGCTTTCCCTCCATAGTAGAGGGATGTGAACTACATGTGAATTTGTTCCTGCATGTAGAAATTAGGAAGCTGATGAGATTTTTTGCATTTCAGAAGATTCTGTTGCTTGAAGCAAAATGGAGTTAGCATAGGGGAAATAGTTTATTATAGCTATTCCATTTTCCATGTAAATTGAGAATTCCTCCTAATTTAGACCTTAAACAAAAGCAGAAATGCACCATTAGTTTATTAATTACCACCAGGTGTTTGCTTCTCCTAAACTTCCTTTCCAAATGAGTTTCCTAAGGGTTTGCTCTTGATTAGAGAAGAGAGGTCGGTAGAGACGTGTTCCTGAAAATGAGAGAAATCAAATAATGACCTTCAGTCATTGTCCACAGCTTCCTGAAAGGTACCTGCTGAGCCTCCCACTGATTTCAGAAGGATTTTGGACCAGCCTTTTCATTAGGATCAGTCTCCTGGAGAAACCTTGCCCAGGAAGCTCTGTTGTATGAGGAAGGGAACGGGCTAAGAGAGCAATACTTCTCTTTTTTTAAATGCAAAATGTAGCAACCAAAGGATGCAAGTGATATGGGATGGCTGCTGTCCTTTAGTAGCCTAGTAGGAGAATAGATGGAGAACAAAAACCATGCAGTCTGGCCCAAAATGCAGCTTTTTGTCTGTCCTCACTGGGATTCATGTGTCCCAGCCCAAGCAGGGGGGCAGGTGAAGAACAAGCCCTAGGGCCTTGTGTGAGACACCAGCCACCAGGCTCCTGTGTGTACCGGAGGAACCAGCTGGTACCACGCGCTGCTTTAGGTTTCTGCTAATACTATTAACTATTAACTCCTTCTTCAAAGAGGTACCTTGAGGGCTCACTACAACTGCAGTTACTGCAGCCTTGGAGGGGAAAAAAAGAAAAAAAATGATTAAAAGAGCTAAAATGAATTTTATTTTGAAAATGGTTAGCAGCCCTGGTCTGTGTGCACTCCCTTGGCCCCGGCACGCGGAAGCTGCGAGCGCCTGCGTCGGGAGCCACATCCGGGGGGAGTGTGCGGCTCTCCAGGTGCTCCGAGTGTCCCTGGGCTCTGGAGGGGGCTCCCACTGCCCCAGGGTTCAGCTCGAGGCGGTTTCTGCAGTCTGGTCCGGGTAGCGTTTGCCTCACTGGCCCTTCTTGTGTGTCTTTCGGTATTCTGCTGCCTCCCTCTCCATGGGTCTCTCACTTTTGCCATCCTTTTTTGGCCGTTCCGGAGCCTCCCTCAACCTGGGTCGTCTGAATTCCTTAAGCCGAGAAAGCCTCGTTTCCCTGCCACCATTTCTAGCCTTTCCTTCTGCTCCTGGGATGTTTCTCCCCATGGTATCGTGGTTCATCCTTTGCGCATTGCAGGTGGCCATAGGAAGCTTGGGGGAGCCCTTTCTCCCATCCCCTGGTCCAGGAGGGGTGTTGAGGTTGGTTTCCATGGCTTGAGAGAGGAGTCAGTGGCTCCTCCGCGGGTCCTGGGCAGGAGACTACAGCCAGCGAGCAGTGGCAGGTCTGCCCGTGCTTCTTGAGCATGTCCACGCTGCTTGTAGCTGCCTATCTTCCAACAAACCATCCCAGCTCCTCACCACAAGGGTGATATTGCAGCTGTGTTCCCTTTGCTGTCAGTATCCCAATTTGTCCTTGGATGCAAAGCCCATTTTATTGCAGTAACAAGTTAGCAATTTCCAGCCTTTTTTTCTCCATATATCAAGTCAACTGAACAAATCCTTGCATCTGCAGAATTTGCAGTTTTAGTCTTTTCCCCTTCATTTGCTTTATGCAGTGCTATTGCTAGCCCATTTCTGGGTTATTTCCACCATTGCTTGACATAATCTGAAGTTTCTGGCTCATAAATAGGAATTCTCACTTATCACCATCAAGGCATCTGCAGAAACAGCCTGGCCTGATCCGCCGTTTGGAACACAGGCTCCTGCACTGTCCTGTCCCGTGCAGAATACCAAAATCCAATGTTTTTTTCAGCTGTTCTTTCAGGTTATGAGCATGAGTTGTCCTGTGTCAGAGTCTCCCGGAGCTCATGTTTGTCAGGTTCACTTGCATCATCTTCAGAGCTTTTTCCTCTGTAATGGGAATTTCTTTAAAACAAGAAGAATGTGACAAATTGCAGAAAACATCAAACCACTGCAGCACAGAGTACCCCCAGTAGATACTTTTCACTTCTGTGCTTAGTAGCTGCATGTCATCATTTTTTGCAGTTTCTTTCTGTGTTGTGTTCTCCTCAACGCTTTCCAGCCCGTGGAGCACAAGCCTTGTCAGTTGAGCTTGCTTGTACCCTGAAGAGACTTGTGAAGTCACCTGCAGACACGACGTGCTCCTCGGCACGGGGCAGGACCTTTTCAACTTGCTTTGTTTTTCCCCTTTGACTTTACCTTTGTGAAGTTTCATAGCACTCCCCCAAATCCACATTCACTCATAAGCTCAAGATGCTGATCCTGTGTTGGCTGCTCAGCAGCCACAGGAGTCTTCCCCAAAATCCTTACGGTGACGATGTCCCATCCCAGGAGACCAGCATCTCCTCTTGCTCAGGAAGTTACCTATGTATATATTTTCTTTCCACATAGATTTTGGTGGGCTCTGGGATGCATTTTGGGTGTTAGCAGCTGTTCTTCCTCTACATTACTTCTTATCTAGCTATCATGCTTTTTGTATACTCACAGCAAGATCTCACCTAAGGCTACTGGTGACTTTTTTTACTTTAAATAAGATTTCTTCTCAAAATTTGCAGTCCTTGAGATCCAAGGCTTTGCTACACTACCTTGGTATGAGAGCATGTTTTGGAAATCTCAGCCATTCGTCTCTACTGTCATAAAATGACAGAGGTCTCCTCAGGTCTTGGACTACAATGAATTAAATTGTGGTGCTAGTGCTGGCTTTTCCGACAGCAAACAGAACTAGTTGCTATCCTGACAACTTAGCCTATATTTGTGATGATTTCAAAGGACCCAGTTGGACTGGGTGCAGCTGGAGGAGAGTGGTGCTGCTTTCAAGAGGGAGAGATACAAAAGCTTTGCACTTAGTGTAACAGCCCCGTTGGTTGTTCACATAGGAGCCAGCCGCTTGCCAGGAGCGGGGTGTTTGGGTGCATTTTGCCTCTCTGCGCATTCCGTGTCCTGCTTTTCCTCTCCTTTGGGGTGCCTGCTGCTCTCTGCTGTGGAGGGAAGCGGGCGGCAGGCCCGGGCCACCCTTCGTGTCCCCAGCAGAGAATGGGCACCTTCCTGGTGACTGCGGGGCAGGGAAGTGTGAGCCGGGTGCTCGCAGCGTGTCGTGCTGCCGCGGGGCACCCGCGCGCACAGCGCCCTGCGGGCAGCTCCAGCTCGGGTAAGTATTCGCTCTTTCTCTGTTCTGTGATATTCAAACTCAGATGGATGCAGGCGGCTTTTGCTGCTCCATGTCTTAAATCCGAGCTTTGTGCCCTTGAGGTGTGGACAGCCTGCTTCTCTGTGTGAACTGCTGGTTGTGGCGTATCGCATGTTTGGTCGGCAGGTTTCCTCAGGGCCCTCTGCCCGTTGCTCCGAGATGCCAAACGCAGCTGAGCCGCTGCAGTTGCAGTGGGGAGTCGAGAGCTCCCTCGACAGCCTCCTTTGCAAGCAGCCTGGCCAGGGCTCACGTTGAGCAAGGGGCTTGTCGTTGCTCTGACAGATTTCCTGAGCATTAGCAATGGTTTTGAGCAGTGTATAATGGATTTTTTTTTAACCCTAACCCTCTGCTTCTCTCATCCTTCCCTCTCTCCTGTGTGTGTCTCTGTGTATGTGCTTTTTGTCTCTCTTTTGTTTGTGTTTTGTTTTTTTTTCTTTTCGGTGGCTTGTGTCTCCTTTCCCTGCCTCGTTGCGGTGCTGTTTTACGCTGCAGAATTCGTCCAGCTCTGCCTCTTCCGAAGCCTCTGAAACCTGCCAGTCAGTGAGCGAGTGCAGTTCCCCCACCTCAGTCAGCTCAGGCTCCACCATGGGGGCTTGGGCCTCCACAGAGAAGGTGAAAAACTTCATCTCAAAGACGTTCAAACCTATTAGCTCATTACCCAGACCCAGCAACCTCCGAACAACAAGCGTGCATGGGACACAGCCAGGATTCCTCCCCACAGAGATGAGAATAGCAACTGTGACACGCTCCCTGCAGAGCGAATGTGTTTGTTTGCAAAAACTGCACTAACACTCTCTTTAAATGAGCTGATGGGACGGGATGGGTACTACAAATTGGGGGTTTGCAAGGAGGTAATTTTTTATAAAAATTCATTGTCCACCTTTTCCGCTCAAAGGGACTGTGAAACGCTGCCTAAACTCAGCTGGTGACCTGCTGAGGGGCCGCTCACCCAGGCCGTGCTGCTTGTGGGCTCTCCCCACTCCCATTTGCAGCCTGGGTTGCGCTTTTAAGGAATTTGAGCGTGTTTTTGATCAAAAAAATAAAAATAATAGCAATAGAGCACAAGCATGATTGGAATAAATTGTATGGGATGCACTTTAAATTGGGGGAGATAGTGACAGCGGTGTCCATTCTCATCTGGTAAATCCTTGCTGTTTTTTCGCTTCATCACGTGGCTGCCACGTCGTTCCCGAGGGCCGTGTGCTTCTCCTCTCTGTCCGGTTGCACAGATGCCGCCCCTGCAGATGCTTTCAGTGCTGGGGATGTTCTGTTTCTGTGTCCACAGCCTGCAGGGCAGCTCCGTTGTCGGGGCTCGTTCGTGGGGCGCTGCTTCCCTGGACAGAAGGCCGAGCTGCTGAGCCTGGCGGCAATGACTGCCACGCTGGTGTCTGAAACTTGTTATACCTCATAACAATTTTCAAGCAATATCTCACTTCTGAGCCAGCATTGTATCATTTTCTGTTGTTTATTTGCAGCAAAGTGCATTTTTGGTTTGTTTTAAGATACAGAAGTTTTTTTTTTTTCCCTAGATCATCAAAGTCACAGTGTATTTTCATATTCATTCTGTTTATATTAATTTCTGTTTTTTGTTTATTTGTTTCGTTTCCAGTTGTCTAATGGGTTTTATCACTGTAGTTTATCAAGTGACCCATCCGTAGCCTCAGTTGGTGCAGGTCCTTTCCCTCATTTCCCGCCTGTCTCCCGCGCGTGGACTCGGGCTCCCTCAGCCCTCCTTCCAGACTACGTTCATTATTACACCATTGGGCCAGGCATGTTGCCATCATCTAAGATCCCTAGCTGGAAGGTTTGTGTTCCTTTTGTTGTGGCCGTCCTCACCTCCTTTTCCTCCTCCTCCTCCTCCCAGCACTGTGCTCGCGCCAGTTGCTGTCTCTTGATTCCTGTAATTGCCTGTTGATTTGCTCTATTTAACATCCCTCTGAATGGGCACTGCATGGTGGTAATCGTAGAGAGGGTGGCATTTCTGGATGTTCTGCTCTGTGCTGGTACTTCCTAAAAGATATTAAAACTGACAGCACCCAGAGAGGGAAGTCCGGAGCAAACATGACGTTGTTGAAAGCACTTTGGGCTCTATTCAGTGCCAAGAGCTGGTGCAGGACACACTCGTGTCCTTGGCATCTCCTGTGCTTAGTGCAAGCGTATGTGGAGCCATGCGGCATTCCCGCCGGAGCGGCTGCCCTGCTCCTGCAGAGCCAGCTGGAGCGGCGGAAGAAGTCGCCCGCCCCCGGCTGCTGGATGCAGATGCTGGTTTATGCTGTGCACTCCAGGCTGGAAGCGCTCAGCTTGTTCTGGTGTCTCGAGATACAATCCCAAATGTCAGAAACTGGTAACTTCTTTGAGTCGCTCCAGCTGGATCTGCAAGGGTCTCTCTGCATCGCGACGCCTCTGCCCTGATCGGGTGCTTTGTGTAAATGTAAGACCAGAGGTATCTCGTTGCAGACTCCCAGATGTCCCTCTCCTGGTGCTGGAGACTGAACCCCAGTGTGGCCACAGTGATCGCAGTCTCCAGCGTTAGCAGTTGTGCCCGTGCTAGAAACACTTTGCCATTCCTTTATTTTTTTGCAGCAAAACCCAACAAAGACAAAATTGTTCAGGCAAAGCTGAGTTTTACTTGACTTAATAAAAGTGAAGCATCCGTTTACCCAAGCGGCTTCCTTCCACAGAGCTCCCTTGTACTTCCCATGTCCTACACTGAGACATGTCACTAAAAATCTGAAGTATGGTCATAGTCTATCATTAACTATTTAATCCCAAGGCTGTGCAGAAGCTGGTCAGCAGCTGCCAGCGGTGGGGTGAGGTGTCTTCTGCTTTTATTATTATATTTTTGAAGGTGAGGGAAGCCGTACTCCTGCCTGGGCAGCTGCAGGACTTTGCTGAAAAGAGCCCCCAGTGAACATGGGCCCAGGGGTCTGGGGAGTTTGCTTCACATTTGGTGTCAGTGATTCAGCGTGGAGTTAGTCTGTCTTCAGACAGACCAGAAATCAGCTAGTCAGAGAGCCGAGAGATTACATAGAATAAGTTTTCACCTCTAATATGTATCAAAAGTCTATTTAGGGCTAATTTTTTAAAGCTGCCAACGTATGTAACAACACATGGTGTTACAGCTGGCATACACCTAGGGCAGGGAAGTCCGCGATTGGAAGCTGGGATGTATTTGCTGCCCTGTGTCCGTTTACATGGGTAGTTTCTGCATTTGAGCTTCTGAAAACAGACTTTAAACAGAATGGGCTTTCATCTGAAGAAAATAATAACACCAACATGTTAAATATCTTTGTATAAGGAAGTTTAGGTAGATTAAAAAAATTAGGTTTCCTTTAGAAAAGGAGATTTTTTTTCGTAATAGAACATTTTTAGTATTTTCAAAATTAATTGACATCTAGTCTGATTCAGAAGGGCATCTCCCATTTGCTGCATAAATCTCTTGCTTTAAAATCGCACTTTCGTTGTAAATAAAGCTATGTAACAGGATGCCGACTAACACAGGCTGCCCCTAACGAGCTCCTTTCCTTAGGACTGGGCCAAGCCGGGCCCGTACGACCAGCCCATGGTGAACACGTTGCAGCGGCGCAAGGAGAAGCGCGACGGGGAGCTCAATGGAGGAGGCCCAAGCGGAGCAGCGGTGCCTGCAGAGGAGGCGCAGCGGCCCCGCAGCATGACGGTGTCGGCCGCCACCACGAGGGTGAGGGATCGTAGAACCATGGAACCATTAAGGTTGGAAGGGACCTCTAGAGGTCATCTAGTCCAACCCCCTTGCACACACACTGTCACCTAGAGCACGTGGCACAGGACTGCATCCAAGCAGGGTTTGAAGATCTCCAGAGAAACAGATGCCACAACCTCTCTTGGCAGCCTGTTCCAGGGCTCTGTCACCCTCACTGTCAAGAAATTTTTCCTTAAGTTCCTGTGGAGCTTTTGGTGCTTCAGTTTCCGGCCATTTCCTCTAGTCCTATCAGTGGCCACCCTGAAAAGAGGCCCCATCCTCCTCACTCCCTCCCTTGAGGAATTTATAGACACTGAGCAGGTTCCCTCTCAGCCTCCTCCAGGCTGAACAGGCCCAGCTCTCTCAGGGGTGTGCCAGCTCCTTGCTCCTCGGGTGTTTTTCTGGGACACTGTGAGCTGGCAGAGCCTTCAGCCCCGGTGGGGTGGTTGGATGGGAGCCATGTGGGTACAGGACGTTGGGCAGTTGAGTGTATTGGCGTTTGTAGAGCAAAGACATCCAAAAAAGGTTTTCGAACTGTAGTCAGTTGTTGGGCACAATCCTGTATGGTTGGGATGGTGACAAGCCCTGCGTGGGAGGGAGGAAGGTTGAAAATCGGCGGGCACTGAGCCCCGTGGCGGTAACGCGTCTCCTCACGCGCGCAGCAGGGGGAGGAGATGGAGGCCTGCGAGGAGCTGGCCCTGGCCCTGAGCAGGGGCCTCCAGCTGGACACGCAGCGCAGCAGCCGTGACTCCCTGCAGTGCTCCAGCGGCTACAGCACGCAGACCCCCACGCCGTGCTGCTCCGAGGCCACCATCCCCT